CTCCGCCCCGCCGGGGTGCCGCACCCCGCGCACCGGGGCCCGGCTCACCGCCCCGCGGGGCCCGCCAGGGGTCCCGGCCATGGGCGTCCCTGGTGGGAGCGCGGCCAGCGCGCTGTCGGAGGTGGTTATTCCCCTCTGCTCAGCCGCTGAGAAGCGGTGTCTGGAGCACCCGTTCGGGGGATCCTCGGTGCAAGGCAGAGGCGAGCAAACTGGGGCGCTCATCAGAGAGGGTCGCGGGGCAGAGCGCAGAGCACTCAGCATGGAGGAAAGGCTGAGAGAGCTGAGTTTGTTCTTCCTGGAGAAAGGCAGGCAAACAAGGAGGGGGTCTAACTTCAGTCTTCTGCTAGCTAAAGGGGTTACAGAGCAGAGGGAGCTGGACTCTTATCAGGAGTGTATAGCCAAAGAGGCAATGAGTACAAATTGCAGCAAAGGGAACTCCACTTGCATCTAAAGAAAAAAATTCCTCGTTGTGAGAGTGGTGCAGCAGAAGGATCTCCAATAAGGTAGATACATTCATCAAGGTAGATCATTCATTCCTGGTCACATGACCAGGACTCTGACATGTCCCACGGAGTACTCGATCAACTCAGAGAGGTACCAATACAGAAAACACAGGGATGGTGGGGGGCTTGGGTCCCTTCTGTGAAGAGAGGCTGAATCAGTGCATGACAGGGAGACCAAAGACTGGGCTATTATACATGTCAGCTTGCTGGTAAAGTGAGACAGAGAAATAACTCCTGATTTATTCCTAAGGACTACATAGGTTCAAGAGGTAACTGTAGAAAGACAATTTATCACTCATCATGCAGTTATAGTCATACCCTATACTAAGTACTAAGTACTAAGTCATTTTAAAGGGAAAAATATATAGAAATGGTGCAGCTGGCTGAAGCAAAATAAGAATGAGCAACTGGAAAAGAAGAATTCAGACAGGGTGAATTGCTTGAAGACCTCACATTAATAGTTCAGATAAATATATATGACCTACTGGAAACCTTTTTAAGAGAAGAGTGCCAGTACAGTCATGTGGTAGGCTGAATATAACAGTTAAAAGTAAACAGGCATCCTTCCAAAGGCTAGGAGTCCTGTCTGAATGAGAAAAATGAAAAAACCAGGAACGCTGGCAAGTGAAACATAAAGCCAGAATAAGACAGGTCAAAGAAGGATTTTTCTAGAGCAACTTGCTAAGGGCATAAAATCACATAATAAATACATTAGTAGCAAAAAAGCCCAGAGAACTGATGGGGCCATAACTGGACTGAACAATAGCAGGGGCCCAGGAAAAAGTCAAAGTCATGGTAGAAATGTTACCTTCGTTCCTGAGGTTGGCAATCACAATGGCAGGAATCAGAGATGTTCCCAAAGCAGACCTTTGGCCTAATGGAGGCCAAATCTACAAAACTGTCTCAAGTGGACGTCTCTGTTGATGAAGTCTTGGAGATAGACTGACAAAATTACCACTGATGAAGCATCAAGACCAGGTAAGAGCTACTCAAAAGTTTCTAAAGAATTGAAAGGATGAATCAAGGTGTACAGACTGTTGTTTAAAACTTCTCTAAGTGCTAGAATACGGAGCATGATAAAAGTGACACTGATTTTTAAAGAGGACTTCTGAAGTGGTGTGGGAAACTGCTGACCGGTAAGTCTTACTACCATAATGGCTAAATCCCTTAGACACTGCAATAAAAGGATGAATAGACACAAGAATTAATATGCTCTGTTGGGGGAGAGTCAACATCACATTTATATGTCTCAAATATCTGAGTCCTCTAGAGCAGTCAACAAACAGGTGATTGAATTAATACTTTATTTGGATTTTTAAGACACTTCCTGTAAGATCTGTTACAGAATGCCCTTAAATAATCCTGAGATAACAGGGACAGTCCTCTTCTGTGTTACTAACTGGTTAGAAGAGAGGAAACAAGGAAAAGGAGTAAATATTCAGCTACAGCGGAGAGCAGGGATCTGCATTTGTTCAGCATATTCACAAAGAATCATCCCAGTCAAGACAAATAGATGTCTAAATCATCTGATTAAGACGATTCTAAATTATTCAGCATAGAAAAAGGTAAAGCTGATCATGAACTAATGCAAAAGAAAGCCTTACAAATCTCTTAAGTGACTGGCAGGTAAACAGCAGTGTCTGAAAGTGAAATATAATGCATGTGGCGAAAACCCACAAGAGAAGGTTAGCTATTAATTAGTACTCATAAAGAGATCTGAGCATTACTTGACTTGTTCTCTGAATGCACCTACTCACTGCTCCATGCTGCTCAAAAAGACAAAGA